GCGGTTAATTTTTTTCGAGTTTGTGAGTCAAAACAAGTAGTGATGTCGCCGAGACGAGACCAAGTCTTGTCTCGTCTCGTCTCGTCTCGAATTTTCGAGTTGAGACCAAGGTTCCGTCTCGTCTCGTCTGGTCTCGACGAAATGGGACTAACCATCAATCTCGACGAGACTCTCGTTTGGTCTCGAAGTTATTTGTGTAATAATTTGTACTGTTTTTTTTAAATTTTAATAAAGAAAATCCATTGAATTAGCAGTAATTTCAATTGTTTACATAAACCGTTCCTGACCTTACTGATTTAGGACTTAATTACCATAAGTCTTATACAACTGTACCTATTTTTTCTTAAATCCAGGAAGCCTTCGCCGGCTTTATTTTATTTTATTGGCGGACAATTGGTTTATTAAACGTGTACCCTATCATAGCAGTATACCAGATACCTGACTCAAATAATGGTAATTGTCTCTGCGGGAAAAACAAGACTTGATTATGATCTCGCGGATTCAATTATATTAAAAGCCCTTAACGCTCTCATTGTATTTTCACAAGTTTATGGCATTAAATCCAATCGTTTCTAGGTATAGGTACAGTGACTCAATCTGGAACAGTGGATACAACCGTGTTTCTCGTTCTTGATTGGTAGTTCGTTCTGGTCGCCATATTGGGGCTAAAATGCTATAGGTACTTTAGTATGAGTCTACACTTTTCTTTGTGTTCTTGCGAAATTCTGTGAATAAAGGCGCTGCTTCAGGTAAAATGTACCTATATTGTGGACATATGATATATCCAAATATAGTTACTGTAGGTATTATAGGTATTGACATATTTACCGCGTAGTTAAGACCATAAAAGTAAGATTTTACAAAATAACTTGGACAGATTATCTTTAAGTATTTAAGTAACAAAGAATTCAGTGAGACTTTCCTACCTACTTACATTACCAGATACATTTTATGAAAGGTAATACTTTTTAGCTGCATAATGGTAAAGAAAATCTTTAAAATACGCATAATTATGTTTCGTGATTAGCAAATAGAGAAAGAAGGTCATTATTATTTGTTATGCCTTCGTGGTGCCTTTTATATGCTCTACACCATTTTTGGATAGTATGGCGAGACAACGCGAGACTAGACGAGACGAGACGAGACGAGACGAGACTGAAACAGGGCGAGACGAGACTAAGAGTTGGTTTCGTCTCGAGGTTACGAAACGAGACGAGACCTTTGAAAATCTCGTCTCGTCTCGTCTCGCGGCAACACTATAAACAAGATCGTATAGAAATGCCACTGACCAGTGGTAGACATCTATTGAGTTTTTGATGGTAGTAGGCTATTATAGAGTCTTAATTATACAAATATTATGGTGCACACTTAAAGTTATTTGGCACCGACTATGAGCTCATGCAGACGGCGAGATGTGTCAGACAGCCAGATAAATAAAAATATAAAGAAATGTCCGAAAATTGATGCATTCAATACTTCTGCAGTGGCTTCCGGACGAATGTGCATCCTATTTAAAACATTCTACACCAGCCACTTCCTTGGCAATAAGCTATAATAATTATTAGAAAAATCAACTCGCACTTTTAAAGATTTCAACGGGAGTTAATTGCTCTAGGCGCGAATGTTCTGCGAGCTTTTTTGTCAAGTTGGATACATACCATTTATTTAAAAGCAGTGGCGGATCAATTTGATGGATCACTAAACAATAATCACAATTCCTTAATTTAAGAAAATGAGTTTGCCAAGCACAGTTGCACGCTCCAGTTCATGTATTCTAGTATTTATTCTAACGTTGCCTGAGGGGTAATCATGCGAATTAAACGATCACCGTAAAGTTCTTTTTCAGTTGTTCATGTGCGATAGTTCTATCAACCTATTGTCATAAATGAATCCATACGAGCATTTTCTAAACGTGTTGCGCTTGATAGTACGCCTTTAATGTTAATGCATCCATATTGCTGTGTGTAATTATCGCAGGCCAAAAAGGACCACACACAAAACACTTCAAACCTAGTTCTCTTCAATGATAACTTTTCTCGGTATTGATCCACACCCCGATACAAAGCAGTGATTTCGGCCTCGGTAACCAACAAAAGGTGTTTTCTTTCCTCGTCTTCCCCTATTTACATGAAAATAACACTTAAATTTCTTAAAACTTTATCAAGTAATAAAAGCGAGAATAAAAGCTACATAGAAACCACAATAACGAAACGCAAATCGTTCGTCCATACTAATTCTTAGAAATTTCTAGATATAAATCAACACATATGAATACATTTTTAGTAGTGCTGTCGCATTTGCATTAATAAGCACCTTGATAGCAAATAAAATTGTGGTACAAACTTCCTTAATCTAACAATTTCAAGAAATACTCTATGCATAAAGAAATATACAATTTAGACCTTCACTATTCGCTCGACTCGCAAAATTGTTTTGTGTTAAAACGTAATTAGACCCACTAAGTACATTGATTAGAAAAAAATATTTAATGAACATAATAAAACAATTAGGTACACGAATTCATTACAAATGTCTCAAAATAAACTACAACGTCCCAACCGACATTGTTGACACTCCCCTTTAAACTTCAAAAGTAAGGTGACATGGTCCTTTAAAGTATTTTCTCTTAATGTAATGTACCTTTGACAAAATGTGGCGCTTGCCTTTGAACAGAACTGTTTCCTTTAAAAAGCATGTATTGCGGTAGGCAAGATAAAAAAATCACATAAAAACGACGCCAATGGATGGCGATTACTGCATAGGTAAGCCACCTTCTAAACATGTTTGCCAATGCCTTAAAAGTAAAAAATACAAAAACTTTAACCTGTCTTTAAACTGTCTGCAGTTATTTTGGATCACCCGGTATTATCACTCGGAATGCAGGGTTTTTTATTTTATTTATTTAAATTAACGTGCCTCTGCTACTAATGGCCATTGGCACGGGTACAAATACACAAAACTTACATTATGTAGAAAAACAAGGGTAAACGACAACAATAAGTACTATAGTATCAGTGATGTTAAATAGAATTGTAGACGCTAATGTCTTTTAAGTATTTTATAGCATTGACACAATTGTGGTGCGTCTTAAGGTCCACTTTGAGATCACCTTTCAGATTGGATCGAATCCTTTGTTCCGCAAATTGTGGACAGTCCCACAAATGTAGCACTGTTAGTGGAACATTGCAAACTTCACATTGAGGATGCTCGCCTGCTTCTAGTAAGTAACTGTGCGTCATGTTTGTATGGCCAATGCGCAGTCTACGAATTTTTACTAGATCCTGGCGATTAAGAGTGATGCGCTCTGTGCAGTTGATGGATGGTTGGAGGGCTTGAAGCTTGCAGTGTGAGAGGGACCAGATGTTGAATGCAGGGTTTTGAATTTCAACTGTTTCGGAAAGAGTACTAATCACATAACCGTTTCGTTAAACATTTCATTTACCATTATAAAAGTTCTCCAAATTCACGATATAGTACAAAAAATGGTACAGTTAGTGTTTCACTCATTGTTCTCACCTTTTACTGTACCACAATTAAACATTTCTTGACATCTGTTGGTGAGTATCCAAGTCTTTAAAATAGCTATTCAGATTGTTTCAATTTTGACACTAGAACACTAAAACGAAAAACACAATGTTGTTTTTATAGCGGTGTATTTTACTATAGCGGGGATCCCTCCACATGCTTAATAGATAAAGTCCTTTTTTCCACTTCAGCTTGCAATTTCTTTCTAAGTGATTTTAAGTAGTCTCGTTGCTCAATTGTTAGGTTATTATTTATTTTTAATTTTACATTTTCAGGTAAATAAGGTCTTTGTTTCAAAACATCATGGCATGTTGTTTCGTTTTAAAGGTTATCCTTGGATGCCTTATGTGGTTGTGGTTTTTTATCTGTAATTGTGTCTTGTGTCACAAACTTTGTTGACATCAAATTTCTCGAGACGTGGATTCTTCTACATTAAATATTAACACATAAGAGCGCATTAAGTTTGAAAATGTGTTGCTCACTTTGGTCAGGAGTAAAGTTTTCGACTTTAGCATAAGAATTTTTGATATCAATTTCTTTTAATTCAGATAGCGAAATATGGTGAGCATTTGGTGCATTGACACAAAACCTTCCTGCCCTTTGACGAAATGCAGACGACCTCGAGTCTGGATAACCCGAAACATGTATGAATAGGTAACAACAGAAATATCTAGTTCTTTATGTGCTGACTTTCAATGTTCCGATTTTTATTAAATGCAGTGAGCACACATAAAATACGTTTTACTTGATCGAAAATAAGTAAGATTTACGTATCTAAATGAAACAGTGGGGGAAAATTCGTGGTTTTATTAATAACTGATACGATGAAGATTCATGACGGCACTATTTGCAGTATGTAATTCCGGTATGGTATGTGTGGTGGTTTTGTAGTTTCAATTTTATAAAATTAAATTAGGTAATTGCTAGCTGAGAAATCTACACAAGTAGTATAACTCCCGAAGGGGATTAGTTCATATTGACTTGCCTTTGACATCTTTCTATTGAAACTTGGTTTACCATTGCGATAAATTTTCATTGTATAAAGAGTGAAAGAGCTACTATAGAAGACGGCCAAATAAAACAAATAAATTTGCACGTGCTCGTTCAGGCGGAACTTCAATACCGTTGAGGCTTCCGCCAGAAAGCTATAGTACGAGTTTTCGAAAACTTGGAAACGTAATTTACTTTTATCAAAAATGTTCGCTGACCACTTTCGTCAATGCGAATTGAACGCAAGGATTTATTAAAGCTATTGTCATATATATCACTAAAATAAAGTAATGTAATTTGGAGTGGTGGAAATTCCGCAATTAAAAACCTCAAAATGTAGGCATACTTCCTGTGTATTTCTATCTACTCCCAGTACTCGTACGGTTATTTACCTTGTTATTCATCTACTGGCGGCGATAATCTAGTCAAGTGGATTCATTTCATTTAAATTTAAACTAGTAGGAAAGCTTGTAATGCGAATTACCGACTCAAACCTTTTCATCATCTACAGTTACTATAAAAACTTATACAGTTAGCTATAAAAATAAGTGTCATCTAGATTTAGCACAATGTAAAAGACCGTATAGCTTCTAGATTTGTTGAAAAGGTATGTTTGTTTTCATCATAAGATTTGATAGCGAAAATTACGTAATTCGTCGTCTTTAAAATGAAGCGAAATGCAAGCGGTGGAAAATTCGAATTGTATAATATAACGAAGATTGACTGCTTCTTCACATCCGTAATTGACATCCTATTTTAAATTAGTACCATTTTGGTTATAATCCTGATACACTTTTTTTGTTACAGATATAAACGATCACCATGAACAACTGACACGAAATGGCAGAAAATTTGTCGTGCGGATCTGAACCGATCGAATTTTACAACACAACGTTTGGATTCGAATCTGCTCTTCCTGAATGGGAAGCACTTTTAACCATCTTTACGTTGTCGCTAATAATAATAATGACAGTAGTTGGTAATATATTAGTAATACTTAGCGTTTTTACTCACCGGCCGCTTCGCATTGTACAGAACTTTTTTATTGTATCGCTTGCTGTCGCCGATTTAACAGTAGCAATACTCGTAATGCCAATAAATGTCGCATATTCTATAATAGGTAGATGGTTGTTTGGTATTCATATCTGTAAGATGTGGTTAACTTCTGACGTAATGTGCTGTACCGCTTCAATTCTGAATTTGTGCGCGATTGCGTTAGATCGCTTTTGGGCTATTACCGACCCTATTAATTATGCTCAGAAACGAACTTTAAAGAGGGTGCTTTTAATGATTGGTGGTGTGTGGCTGCTGTCGTTAATAATTAGCTCGCCACCGTTACTAGGTTGGAACGATTGGCCGGATACCGAAGACTTTTTAAATGAACCTTGTCAGTTGACACAACGAAAGGGTTACGTTATTTACTCTTCATTAGGTTCATTTTTTATTCCGCTGTTTATAATGACTATAGTTTACGTTGAAATCTTCATAGCTACAAAACGTCGATTAAGAGAACGTGCGCGTGCTTCCAAAATTAATACAATAGCGTCAAAAACGCATATTAATTCCGAAAAAGAAAAGGAATCTACGAAATGTTCGAGGGATCGAGAGTCAGTAAGTAGCGAAACAAATCACAATGAACATCCAAACCTTTCCGATGTTACGAACGGCAAGTGCAAAGATAAAAAGCGCCAAAAGTGCAAAAAGAAGAAGAAGTTACACGAAAAGGACAACGTTTACTTAAAACCGGTACTGATCCATGAGGACTCTTTTACCGATAATCCCGAAAATTCTCCCAGTCCCGTTCGACGTAACTCAAATCCCTGCACTTCAGAAAACCAACCGGTCACTTCGTCTTCGACGGCAACCTCTACGACGCCCCCTTCGGCCAATAAACAAATGTTAAAAAATGAACAGAAAACGGTGGTAATAAACGAGCCGGGTATTAAAAAACCAGGGGCAGTCTACCAATTTATTGAGGAAAAACAACGCATATCGCTTTCAAAGGAAAGACGTGCCGCACGAACTCTCGGAATTATTATGGGAGTTTTTGTGGTTTGTTGGCTACCTTTTTTCTTAATGTACGTCATCACTCCATTTTGCTCATTATGCTGCCCCTCAAGGAGAGTAACTAGCTTTATTACTTGGTTAGGTTACATTAATTCCGCCTTGAATCCTATTATTTATACCATCTTTAACTTAGATTTTCGCAAAGCCTTTAAAAAATTATTGTTCATGCAAGTGTAAATATTAAAAGGCAAGCTGTAAATTTTTACCGTGTTAAATTGTGTTAATGCAAGACTGCGTATTCCGTAATGTATATAAATGTACTCAACTTTGAAATGTAGTTAGGTATCTATATGAATGATCATTCCTTTCGCTGAATGCATTTCTGTAGTGTAATGAGCCCGTACTGCAAAATGCATTTGGATTGAGTATTTTTATAGTCAAAGTTTTATAAGATATGAACATTTCTTATTTGTTACCTATGTACATATCATAACATTGTTTTTAACGCACTAGATGTAGATTTAAGTTAAAGCCAAAGTGTGATAACTAAAAATTGTTACGAGAAAATGAATAAGTTTTATCAATGTGATTGCTCTGTTACAATATAAGGCATATATGGTTATAAATGACGATGTGTACTTACAATCTTAACTTTGAAATGCAATAAAACTTATAAATGTGTTCGTGTTTTCCCTTCACGGAAGCATAGATATCTACTAAATCATCTTTTATGACGTGACTCCCACTGGATTTATCGGCCTCTCTCTTTATCAGTCTGCGAATCTTGACACGACCAATATACTCTTTGACTGTAACGGATGGTTACAAATCCTAGATGACTCACCGTTTATATTCTTTGTCTTCCGGCGTCGATGTCGATATTTTGGGAACTTACCGCAATATTTTTAGCGCATTTTTTATAAAAATGTGCTATTGTTTGCGTTTTGTCCGTCCGTCTGTCCTGGAATTTTGTTGCAGTAGGTAGGCTATACCTTCAAGGTGTTCCAGATGGCCATCAAATTTTGCTGTCTAAAAGTCCCCCCCCCCCCCCCACGAATTACTACTGAGATGCTGTTTTTGAAAGTAAAACGTGCATAACTTTTACATACGGCAACCAATTGGGCTCAGATTTTGCATACGCATGTCTTTTGTGGTGCCAAGTTAAACTTTAGAAAATGGGGGTGGGGGGGTTGCTCTACCCTTCATAGTACCTATCCTAATTAAACTATTGGAAATTTTCCACTCTGATATTCACGCGTGAGAAACAATGATGCAATCCCTTCCTCGCTGCGTAATGCGCTAATAGCATAACCGCTTCATCACAACTTTCAGCGAGCACTCTGCTTTTCGCAGTTCGCACACTCATATCAATACCCTTCGTCTCCTCCGGTCAAAGTCCGTTACCCTTAATCTAAACTGAAACTACAGCAAATTTTACCTTCCTTCACAAAACATTTTATTATTTTACTCCCAGGCCAAAAAGCATTTTACGTAACTAAACATTCATACCCATTACATGACGTGCACGTGGCATAGATTATCATTATGAAGGTATTTTCTGTATATTGTATTGTAAATGAGGAACCTCGGCTGCTACTTCATACTACAACGCCACTGATATTGGAACTAAATCAAAACGGTAACATAGCTAAATCCCCCAGAAAAAGACATCACTCTCGCTTAGACTTCAAATTGAATAATATTATGCCCAATTTGGTTGACTGGAAAGTAGATTTACAATATTCTCCAAAGAAGCAGACATCAACTGTGCACATAGCCAACCTCATCTATGCATTATGCGGGATTACATTTTTTTTGTAATCGTTGCTTTAGTTAAACGTTTCTGGAAAAGTGAAATAGGTAGGTTTTTGAAAATTGTACTAGGAGTTACTCTGAAGGCCGAATCGATGTAAAATAGTCGCACTTTCGGAAATACAGGAAGCTAGTAACGTCGTTATTTTAAGTGGCAACCCCTGATTTTTATTGCATTTTTGGATTCTACGTAAAATTTCAGTTCTTTTGATACCCTCATGTCGATATCTACCATTTATGGTTTTTAAGTTTACTTTAAGAAGAAAAGGGAGAATGCAGACGGTACCTTGATAATTGATTCCTTGAAAACGGTTGAAGTTATGGTAACCCATTTTTACCAATGCATATAGAAAGAATAGGGTTTTCTTTTAGTGTACTTAAAAAAAGTTAAGTTGCGTACGACCGCACCTATGGAGATCCAAATTACAAAAATTCAAAGACTTAAACATTTCTTACTCTGAAGATCATGTCTTCTCTTGTTGAGGGAGGCCACGGCATACATCTTTTACATATCCACACAAAGAGAAATCTAACAGGGAACGGTTCGGGAATGAACAGAGCCGAGATAGAGCCGAGATTACCGATTAAATGCCCTGGAAAAATGGGACTTGGGAATAATGTCTGTATTATGTGCAGGGGAAACATCTTGTTGACATAACAGCATATTCCTGCAGAGGCGGATCTTTTTGATACACATGGAAACTACAACTGATTTCAAGTAATCAATTATCAAAGTACCGGTCTGCATCCGTCATTCTTTTTTAAAGTCAAAATAACTTAAAAACCATAAATGGTAGATATCGACAAGTGGATATCAAAAGAACTGAAATTTTACGTACCTATTGGTAGAACCCAAAAATGCAATAAAAAATGTGGATTGCTATTTAAAATAACGAAGTTACTAGCTACTTCCGGTTTTTGCGGAAGTGCGACAATTTTGAAAATATTTTACATCGATTCGGCCTTCAGAGTAACTCCTACAAATTTTCAATAACCTACCTATTTCACTTTTCCTGAAAGGTTTATTTAAAGCTCCCATAAAATCACCCTGTATATACCCGTGGGCGCTCAAAACTGTAGAACGGTACAAATAAGAATATACAAAAATGCAAAAATTACTACATGCAGCAAACAAAACACACCCTAAGACAATAAATCGACAACAAAACGTGATCACTTAGGCCGTTAGAAACAACAATATCACTAACAAACAACAAAGAACACATATTAATTACTCTTTGCTAGCACGTTTAACAGATTAAGGATGCTTGAGTTTGGTGCCGCCATTCCCAATTATCTTGTAATAAAACTAACTACAAGGTTTTACATGACCGCATGTAAAAAAAAATTGGGCGATAGAGCGGATCAGGGAGCCACCTCCAAACAAGTGGTAAATTTTGGATTTCTTCTTTAATTTTTTTCTCAGCAACCATAAGAGTTACAAAGAATAGGTTTTTGGGTATGCCCTATCTAATTTTGAAAATTGTTTTCAAAATTCCTATCACGAAATGGCGCACCCCTACTTGGGGGGTGCGAAAAGAAATTCTGATTTCGAGGAAATTTGGTATCTGGAGATTTTTGAACATGAAAATGACCAATCTGGAATTAATTTTTGAAAATTCTAAAAAAAAAGTTCCACTGCAATTCTTGGCCGGCAACGAAATGGAGAGAATTCCACAAAATTTGTTGTGTACATACTTGACGAGTTAAGGAACAAAATTGTTGAACAGTTTTTTAAAATATCATTTCAAACAAAAGTTATACTTACTCATTTGAAGATTGGTGCCTTCGGGTTACAAAGTGTCCCCCACCTACTAGAGAGTGAAGTAAATGCGGGTCGTATGACGTCATAGAGAAGCAAAACGCTACTGAAACTTGTTTCATGAAACAGATTGTATTCTATATTTTGTTTCATGTTTGGAATGATTCTGCATTAGTTCATGACATTTGAGCAATGTAACGTAAATCTAATTACGGGATTTATTTATTTAGAATTAATTAACAATAAATTTATAACAGTCTTGAAATGGATTAATTTGTAACTATAAATTAGTATATTTATCACTTTACATAGAACATAATAGTACAAGAGCCACCTAACTAATATTTCACTATAGCCATCAATGTTGGAACTAACTCAAAACAATTCGATTTGGTTATATAGTAAACAACAATCGTTCTAGGTTCTCGGTGCTCCTGAACGCTTCCGAATGTTCTAGAACAAACACGTTTTATTTCCCGAAAAGAATGCGTCACATTCGCCTTACTTTCTTAGCGCCAATGACTAATCTTTTATAGCACCCCGATGTCTATTGGAATATTCGCTACAATCGTTTCTTTGTTCTTGTATTTTTCTTTTTTCTTAATAAGAGTGGAGCAACCACTGCGTCCTTCAAACTATCGTCTGTATCCATTGTTAACTGAAACTGACTTTATTTTTGAATTTTGATTCCCCAGTTTGTGTATCATAGGTACCTTAGTACCTATAGAAACAACTTCATTCGTGTTTTATGTTTATGTTAATATCCAGATATCCTCATTTTGCTTCAATTTGCTAAAATTTTTCATTCTTATAATTCTCACACCAATATTAACTTCAAAAATTCATCTTAATCGAAGGACTTCCTCACGCATGTCTATTGTGTCACTACACTAGTCACTGCTAACATACGTTTTGAAACAAGTTTTTTCGTCGACCTCTCGATAACAATATAAATTACTCCTTAGTGACGAGTACAATGATGAAGCTTATTAATCGTTAGCAACCATTAATCGTTAGCAACCGACCATTATACGTTAGCAACCATTAATCGTTAGCAACCACTTATACATAACAACCATTTTATTAAAAGGAAATGACAATTATATAACAATTCACTTTCGGCAACAGCTGAGAACTTCCATCCACCTAACCATTTTAATCTCGGTTTTAATGTAGTGAGATCAGCAGCCAGTATGGTCGCCAAACGATCTCAGTAAAGCATATCCTGATGTATGTATGTGTAGCTCCTCGGATAAGGTATTGTTAAGGTATTCAGTTACTTTACCTTCAACATTGAGTACGTCGACCACAAGGGATGAACATTTCCATATCTTTCACTATTAATACACGTACTTTAGTACAGTTGCAAAAGAATTAATTACATTCTAATTTCACGTACCTTTTCAAGGTAAAATGTCAACGTGACATTTTCGGAAATATCTCATTGTATTCCATCAATTGCCGAACTGATCGAAACCGTTCCAATAAGTTTCTTTTGAATTGAATGGATATAATGTTAAAATCGTCTCCGCAGCAGAGCAAGCAACATAACATAAATCATAAATATCGATAAAGAATACACAGTTGTTAAATTAAAGTGTATTTAGATACAATCACATTACATTATTTAACACAGAGAACTTAAATTACATGTTTACAAATTACATATAAAACTCAGAAGTGGGTGGAACTTACGCTCTGTAGATGTTAACACTTTGCAGAAAGATCCTTACATAACGATTTGTCGTACGAAATATTTGGTTTTAATTGCTGTTTGGACTACATATTTTCGTTAAAAAATATCTTTAGAACTAAATTTTTTGTTCCAAGAGGTAATAAAACCGTTTCAGCAAATTGTCACACAAGTTTTTGACAACAAATGTTAACTTGATCCTGATGCTTACTTGTTACTTGAGAAGCGAAGGTGGAAGTTGTTGAATTATCTAAAACGTATTTTTATTCATTGTCTAAAAGGAATTACAATATAAGTATCTACGTC